ATACTGACACAGAGATACACACACATTGGCGCATACAAACACAGATATACAAACACATACAAACGCAGATATACACACCTTGACACACACCGGCACATACAAACACATATACACACACCTTGACACACAGATACATACATACACACACACACACACACACAGATACACACTGTGTGTCAAGGTGTGTGTATATGTGTGCCACTACCTGCCAGTGTGTGTATATTTGTTTTAAATTCATACACACTGGCACATACAAACACAGATACACACACCTTGATACACAGACACATACAAACACAGATACACACACTTTGAAACATAGATACACACACCTTGACACACAGATAGATACATAAATACACACACACACAGAGATACACACTGTGTGTCAAGGTGTGTATCTGTGCCAGTGTGTGTATCGGTGTGCCACTATCTACCAGTGTGTGTATCTGTGTGTCAGATTCATACACACTGGCACATACAAACACAGACACACACACCTTGATACACAGACACATACAAACAGAGATACATAAACATACAGAGACATACAAACACAGATACACACACCTTGACACACAGATACACACACACACACACAGATACACATCTGTGTGCCAGTGTGTGTGTGTGTATCTGTGTGTCAGATATACGACTGGCACATACAAGCACATATATACCCACCTTGACACACACCGCCACATAAAAAAAAAAAAAGCACAATTGTAATTTTTTACAATTCCACGATGTTGATACGCTATGTCAACGGGTTCCACGGGAAAAATTAATTGGGAACCCCTGGTCTAACCTCTAGCGTTTGAATCTCACTTTGAATTCTCTCTAAATTCTCCCCAAATCACATTTCAGATATTAATCCTGCGTGTAAAAGCTCCCCAATCTGTCAAGATTTAGTAATTCTCCCACAGCCTTCATTCAAGATTGGATAAATATCATAAGGGTGAAAAGAGTGAAACAGAGGAAGAGGGTGGGGAACGATCGTTACAGTAACACGGCAATATTTTTGTAAAAAAAGAAAAGGCAGGAAAGGCAGATGGATTTAGAGAGAAAGTGAAATGGAGTTTGAGGAAAGATATATGGAGAAAATCTGAAGAATGAAAATGAGAGTGAGAGGCCGAGAAATGAATACAGAGTTAGGCTGAGACCCAGAAGAGATGGGGGAGGGAGAAAAGGGAGGCAGAGGGGGGCTGTGGAGTGCAGGAAGTAAGAGTGAGAATGGAGGTGAGCTCTGTCCTGGGAGCAGTAAATTTCTCCTGGACTCGCTGGTTTCCATTAATGTGTTGGCTCTGCATCACAATGCGTGTCACGGGATATGGAGCTGCTTCACGCATGCAGGTGCACAGTGTCCCATTACAGACTGTGCTAAGAGAGAGGCAATCACTTCCACTGTACCTGTACTACACTGTGTCTGCCCTGCGTCTGCACTGTACCTGTACTATATTGTGTTTGCAACTGCCTTATGCCTGCACTATATTGTGTCTGGCACTGCCCTGTGCCTGCACTATATTGTGTCTGGGACTGCTCTGTGCTTGCACTATATTGTGTCTGGGACTGCTCTGCGCCTGCACTGTATCTGCACTATATTGTGTTTGGGACTGCCTTATGCCTGCACTATAATGTGTCTGTGACTGTCCTGTAGACATGTGCAATTCGTTTCGGTCTGAATGTGAATTCGGACGAATTTCGGGCAATTCGCCGAGGTCCTGAAGTTCCGAAATTACAGAATTTCCGAAGTGCTGAAGTTGCCGAAGTTCCGAAGTGTCAA